TGGAATAATGTTTAAACTAGAGCTTTGTTATGACAACAATGTAGAAATCAGAGTAATTCTCTGTAATTTCTTATTCTTTTCAATAGGACAAATTACATATTTATATTCAAATCATCTCTCTAAAGTAGGAAACTCTAAGAAAGGAAAGATACTAATCCTAGGAGATATGATCCCTTAAAATAAGGGATTGTAGAATATTTACAGAATCCCTTAATTAAAGGATATTTACAGAATCATATATTTCTATAATTCCTTCACTCCCCCTCAAGCCGGAGAATATGCATTGTATAATCCCAGCTTGAATAGGAATTTATTAAAAACAGGCTTTGGCAAAGCCTGTGTAAGAATGTCTGCAACTTGTTCTTCGAAAGGAATGTATGAAAGTGTGGTTGTCTTTTTGTTAACTTGATCAGCAATAAAATGTCTATCAATCTCAACATGCTTTGTCCGATCATGTTGAACTGGGTTCTTGGCAATTTGAATAGCAGATTGATTATCACACAAAACTTCAAAGTGATCCTCTTGATTAGTGACAAGTTCTTTCAGTAGTTTAAGTAGCCAAATTCCTTCGCATATTCCCAATGCTAGTGCTATGAATTCAGCTTCAGCACTACTTCTTGAAACAACAGATTGTTTCTTACTTCTCCAAGTTGTAAGGTTTCCCCAAACAAAGGTGCAGTAGCCACTAGTGGATCTCCTTTCAGTAAGGTCTCCGGCCCAACTAGAATCTGTAAAGATCTTAACAGTTTTGTCTTGTGTCTTCTTAAACATTAAACCATGTTCTGGAGTTTTCTTCAAGTACTTGAGAATTCTATTTGCTGCTGCGATATGCTCTTCAGTAGGATTACTCATGTGTTGACTTATCACATTTACAGGAAATGCTATATCTGGCCTTGTCAAGGATAAATAAATTAGTTTCCCAACTAATCTTTGAAATTTCTCTTTGTCTACTAAGGACCCATCTTCTTTGTTAAATTTCAAGCTTGCCTCCATTGGTGTATCATTCGGCTTACAACCAAGAAAACCAGTTTCTTTGAGTAAATCAAGTACATATTTTCTTTGGTTGATCACAAGTCCTTCTTTTGACCTTGCCACCTCCATTCTTAGGAAATATCTTAGCTTTCCCAAGTCCTTTGTTTCGAATTCCTTATTTAACAACTTCTTTAAATTGCAAATCTCTTCTTCATCATCTCCGGTAAGAATTATGTCGTCTACGTACAAAATAAGGATAGTTTTCTTATTTGTAGAAGTTACCTTGATGAAAAAAGTATGATCGGCGAGGGACTGCTTGTAGTCGTTTTTTAGGATGACTTTAGTGAACCTCTCGAACCAAACTCTGGATGATTGTTTTAACCCGTATAGAGACTTGTTGAGCTTGCACACCTTGTTACTTCCTTCAACAGACTTTAAGCCAGGTGGCAATTTCATATAGACTTCTTCTTCTAGCTTGCCATTAAGAAAAGCGTTTTTTACATCAAGTTGGTGTAATTTCCAATCGCAATTTACAGCCAAACTTAGGAGTACTCGAACAGTATTCAGCTTTGCCACAGGTGCAAAAGTTTCTGTGAAATCTATCTCATATGTTTGTGTAAAGCCTCTGGCCACTAGTCTCGCTTTGTATCGTTGGACGCTACCATTGGAGTTATACTTTACAGTAAAGATCCATTTACAGCCAACAACCTTTTTTCCTTGAGGAAGGTCTGTAACGGTCCAAGTAGCATTTCTCTAGTGCACAAATTTCCTCTTCAACAGCCCTTCTCCATTTTGAAACCTTTAGAGCTTCAGCTATGCTTGTGGGAACCTGTTCTTTATCCAAGTTTGCTTTAAATGCTTGAAAAGACGGCATCAATGAATTATAACCAACAAATTTTTCAATGGGATGCTTGGTGCATTGTCTAACCCCTTTTCCAATAGCAATAGGGAAGTCATCTAGAGTAGGGGAAGTGGACTTACTGATTTCTTCTTCTATTTCGGTAGCTGGACCCAAATCCAATTCTCGGCAAGCATCAGATTGCAAAACAGCCTCAGGAATATGTTTTCTTTTCCTTGTATAGAAATGGAGTTGTTTGATTGGTGTTGTTTGTGGAATATTTTGAATAGAAGTAGGTGTATTTTCAGGAAGGGTATTTAAAGTGGGTATGGGTGAAGTAGTGATAGGTACTACCGGTGGATCAATGGGAGTAGTTACAGGTGACAAATCTGTAGGTAAAGACAAAATTGGTGGCAATTCTGAAGGTTGAGAATGAAGAGTAGGAGGAGATACCTGATGTGGCTAAAAATCCTTCCATGTCTCCCCCTGAATTTCAGCCCGAGTGAAATAGGGATCTTGATCATAAAATATTATATCCATAGTGGTAAAAAATCGTTTTGAAGGAGGATGATAGCATTTATAACCCTTCTTAAGTGAAGAATACCCAACCAGTACACACTTTAATGATTTAGGATCTAACTTGGACTTATTAGGAGCAATGTTTTGGATAAAAACAGTACAACCAAATATTTTAAGTGGAAGAATGGAGGAGATAGGTTTAAAATGGGGAAAGTTTGCAAAAATATAGATTGAGGTGTTTGAAATTGTAAAACCTTACTCGGCATTCGATTGATTAAATATGTGGCAGTTAATAAGGCTTCCCCCCACAAATATTTTGGAACATTAGTGGTAAATAGAAGAGAACGAGTAACTTCAAGGAGATGTCTATTTTTTCTTTCGGCAATACCGTTTTGTGTTGGGGTGTCAACACAAGAACTGATCTGAACTATGCCCTTTTCCCTGAAAAACACACCCAAAGACTTGGCAAAAAATTCATTGTCATTATCAGATTTAAAGAGCTGAATTTTAGACCCAAATTGAGTGAGAACCATGTTATAAAATTGGGTAAAAACACCAGCAGTTTCAGATTTATCTTTTAGCAAATAAGTCCAAGTTATCCTACTGTGATCATCAATGAAAGTGATAAACCACTTACAATTATCAGCATTCTTCACCCGAGAAAGGCCCTAAATATCACTGTGGATCAAAGCAAAAGGGTGAGAAGGCTTATATGTAGAAGGAGAATAAGTTGATTTAGTATGTTTGGCAAGAGAGCAAACTTTGCAAGAAAAAGAATTTGGCCTTTTATGAATGAATAGAGCAGGAAAAACTTTTGCAAGATAGTGAAAACTAGGATGACCTAAACCATAGTGCCATAACATAACATTATCAATTTTTTCTAAAGCGGTGAAAGATTTCGAGATTTCGGTTTTAGTAGAGGTAGGAAGAATGTAGAGACCATTTTGCAAGCTGGCCTTACCAATCATCTTCTTCGAGTTCAGTGCCTGCAAAGTACAATCAATATCATTAAAAATTGCAGAGCAGTGCAAGTCGGTGGAAAGTTTACTAACGGAAACGAGATTGCAAGCCAGATTTGGTACGAAAAGGACATTTTTAAGTACAATCTGGTCATTGAGAATAACAGTGCCATGTCCTTCTATTTTACACAAAGAACCATTAGCCGTTTTGACAGCTTTACCAAAGTTTGGGAAAAAATTGCAAAACAAATCCTTATTACCAGTCATATGATCCGTAACACCAGAATCGAGGATCCAATTAGGGGTTGACTGGGAGGAGAAAAAAACTTTAGCATGAGGTTTACCTTCTGGTTCTTTCATGACCAGATTACCTTATGATTGAGCAACAGAATCAGAAAAAATTTCTGGATTCGAAGTGATCTCCGGAGTAGGAGAAGAAGTTGTGGACATCGTCTAGGTTGGAAAGAAACCGTAACCTAAGCTGATACCATGTAGAAATCAGAGTAATTCTCTATAATTTCTTATTCTTTTCAATAGGACAAATTACATATTTACATACAAATCATCTCTCTAAAGTAGGAAACTCTAAGAAAGGAAAGATGCTAATCCTAGGAGATATGATCCCTTAAAATAAGGGATTGTAGAATATTTACAGAATCCCTTAATTAAAGGATATTTACAAAATCATATATTTCTATAATTCCTACAGCCTACACTTTTTTTTATGACAACAGTACACAGGAATTTGTTGGAACAATTTGAGTTGCTGAGCCCATAGCTGAAGTTGAAAACCTCTGGGACTTTTATAGGCCGGAAGGCAGTAGAGCACACATACTCATGTATGTCTTTAGTTTTCTGTGGAACTTTGTGGATAACTAATAACAGTCAGATTTCTGCCTGCATTGAAACATTAATCCTACCATTAAGTCATTACTCAGTTGTAATGAATTGCCTCTCCTAGTTTGTTTGTTTGTTTGCTTCTTGGTTTTGGAAGTAGAGCTATCCTATTAGTAGAACATAGATCACCGGGGTTATGGTAACCAAAATTAATGGTTTCTGCTAGTTTAAGTCCTCCAGCTTTACCTGGATAGCTGGTCAAATGCTTCCAACATTCTGGCCATATTTGGCAAGAGATACATGTAGTGGACATTATAAAAAAGAATCTCAAGAATAGCCGGCGCCATCTTCACAACTCTTGTAATGCAGGTGATGAACTTCTTTTGCTTCCTTGTGAGCAACAATTTCAGATCATCTTTCTTAGGTTTGAACAACTCCCATAACACCAACTGATCTGTGTAGTTAACAGCTCGCTGTTTATTAATGTTTTGTGTTTTTGTGCTTTGTACAAAATTATCAAATGTATTCACAAATCAAAATCTAGACTGATAGGATATTGCTACTTGATCGAATGTACATGTATTCCTTGTGCCCTAAGAGAAGAACATGCATAATCACACCCAAGCTATCCATTTGTTTACGAATCAAAGCATGTTATCATTTTCATATCCCGACAATACAAACTCAACAACACCCATGTATTTTTCTATTGAGGAAGTGCAGAAGTGGTAATTGAAGAAAGCAATCACCAAAATATTTGTAAACAAGAACTCAAGAATTCTGTGGGAGTGATAGCTTAGACACAACAGATTTCTAAGGTTACTGCTTTGAGGTTCTGGTTCTCATTCTTTTACCACAATGCATTTTTGCTAATATGTTCTTATTTTTGTAGATGAAGAAATAGCATTGTAGGAAATACAAAATCATTGCTCATAATTTGCTAGGGAATGGTTTTCAAAGGAGACAAGGCTTTTTTATTGGATAGCAGGATTATAGATAGACAACAGTGGTTCAATCTGTAAAATTTCCTCTGTTTTGAGGATCTAGTCCTTTGTATCATATGACGACTGTGATCTCTGATTCTTTCTCTCCGATGCTTAAGAAATGAGACCCTTCTTCAATAACCATCAAACCCTCTTCATTGGATGTGCTAAGATGCTCACAAGGGCTCAACTCAAATTCAACATCAGCTCTTTCCCCAGCATTCAGAATAACGCTCTGGAATCCAATCAGTTGTTTCTCTGGCCTTCCATTACTGATTTTTTCTCGCCTGACAAATAGCAAAAGGGGATGCTTACCCGCCAAATCCCCATGGTTTTGAGCTCTAACTGTGACTGGGATTCTCTTATCACAAAGTTCTGTTCGTAGCTCTGAAACTGGTATGTATTTGAAAGCATTTGAGTTCTCAAGCTCAACCTTTGGAGACTTCAACTGATTGTTTAAGTAGACCTTGTTTTGTGCCACAGGAAGAAATTCATAAGAATAGTTTGAGTAGCTGAGACCATAACCAAATTCAAAAACCTTTGGTCCTTGGTAAAATCTGTAAGTACGTCCAGGATACCTTGAAGATGGATCAGGACGCATTCTCATGTCTGTCATCGGTACTTTGACAAAACTCTGTGGATACCAAGTTACAGGTAACCTCCCTCCTGCATAGAAATATTTATGAATCATACAACTTTGTTAAATTTTTCATCAGTATGAGAATCTCTTCTGACTTCTGTTAGCATGCATTCTCTTAGTGAGAGTTCACCTGGATTATGATCACCGAATATGATTTCTGCTAATGCCTGGCCTCCAGCTTCACCGGGATAACCAGCCCATAGAATACTTCCGATGTGTTTATCATATTTGGCAAAGGTTATGTCTACTGGACCTCCAGAAAGAAGCACCAAAACAACCGGATTCTTAGCTGCTCTCGTGACAGTGGAGATCAACTTCTGCTGCTTTGGCGAAAGAGCCAAGTCTACACGATCAAGTTCTTCCCTCTCTTGGGTTTGATCCAATCCCATCACCAGCACCACATATTCTGCTCCTTTTGCTACTTTCACAGCTTGATCAGTCAAAGGATAAGAGCAGTTAACTGCATTACAACCTGGGTGATACCCGATATCCTTAACATAGTTTTGCAAGCCTTGCAGAGGTGTAACGGTTTTGCAAGGAGGGCCTGCATAGTTGCCAAGTAGTGTTCTTGTAGAATTGGCATTAGGGCCTATTACTGCAAGGGAAGCAGTTTTCGCTTTGGAAAACGGGAGGAGTTTGTTGCTGTTCTTTAGAAGGACAATGCCGTTGCGAGCAGCCTCAAGAGCAAGATTCTGATGCTCTTGGGAACATACTTGGTCTGAACTAATGTGGCCAAAAGGCTGGTTAACTGGATTGCCATTGAAAAACCCCAATCTCATTCTAACAGAGAAAAGGTTGTGAAGGGCTCTATCTATTTCAGATATAGGCAATTTTCTCTTATAGACAGCTGATTTGGTGTAGTTCTTCAAATAGTTGCCACAGTTGACATCCATTCCTGTAAATTCATGGACCAAAATGTTGAAATGATGCCACTAGCATATACACAAACAAGTGCCATTTTTAGACCTTTATACATTGTTTTTGTTTAATAAAAAAATTGTTTTTGTCATATGTTCCTTTTCGTCCTGACATTGCCAAGCTTTTGATTACTAAAAACCAGCATATGAGTGTTAAAAAATACAGAGTTAATGGCAACAAAGCTATTCTCATACCAGCTTTAAGAACATCAGCTACAGCATCCTCTGGTAACTTGGCATATCCTTGTTCCTCATGAATGATGGAGACAGCATCACAATCTGATGTTATATACCTGATTATATTTTAATCAAGAAAAACAGTCATCTTTCTGAATTAACCTGTCTTTTTTGTATCATTAACAGTGTTATTTTGAATTAAGAAAAGGATAATAGTTTGTCATAATTACCCGTTGAAACCCCACTGTCTTGCTGTTTTCGACAAGAGATTGTAGTCTGCACAATTGGGGACTCCATTAACACGATTATAAGCACACATTATGCCACTGGCTTTCCCTTCCTGTATGCAACTCCGGAATGGAGGCATATATGTATCTGTTAAATCCTGTTGACTAACCTGAAATCCAGAAAAAAAGAAAGGAAAGTAGCAGATAAATAATCAATATAAATGGGATCTTCCAAATCATTCAAACCCAAGCAGAGTTTACGTTTACCTTTGCATTGAAGACAAATCGGTTGACTCCTTTCCAGTTATCCAAATCATAAGCTGTGAAATGCTTACAACAAGCTGAAGCTTGAAGATGTTCGCCAAGTTTCCCTCCTTCAAAAGTGTCCCCTTGTATCCCTCTCACGAATGAGACTGCATATTTCCCCGTAACAACAGGATCCTCGCCTGGTGTTTCTTGCCCTCTTCCCCACCTAGGGTCCCTGAATATATTAATATTTGGTGCCCAAAACGTCATCCCTGTTGCTTGTCCGGCATTGTATATTGCTCTAGCCTCCTTTCCAACTGCCTGTAAGCAATGAACTGAAGGGTTAATAAGTAGTAAAAAGCAAAAAAAAAAAAAAGGTCTTTGTCTTTCTGAGTTAGATACTTGCCTGACCAATGCGGTACCAAAGATGAACATCGAAGGAAGCAGCGGTGAGAATGACCTGAGGAAAACTGGTGGCAGATTGAATTGTTCCGTTGAAACGCATACCCGTGTGTACAGTGGAGAAATAGGCAATGCCATGTAAGGCTTCAGACCACCATTCATACTCGGGGATGCCGAGTCTTGGAATGGCTGGAGCTGAATTAACGAGCTGGGATATCTTCTCATCTAGTGTGAGCCTGGAGATTAAATCTTGGACTCTTTGGTTGATGGAGAGACTACTGTTGCAGAATGGGTAAGATTTGGTCGGTGGGTGAGATGAGTCACAGGAAAATGGAGGCCGAGTTGAGTCTGCTGAGAGAAGCAGCAGTGAGCTAATGTGAATGAGGGCTAGGAGAGTGGGTTTTTTGAACTTCATCTTTGTGATTCCTTTGGACAGTAGAGAAAAAATGAAATATTTTATAGGACCCAACAAGAGTCACTGTTTCACTGCATGCTCTGCCTTTTGCAGTCGCAGTTGAATCTTACAACTGACATGTCTGATGGGTCAGACTACTCACTCAAACTCAATACCCGATCCAGATCCGACTCAGGCCATCAAACACTAAAAAATGGAAATAAGACAGATTATGGGGTTTCATTTTTTTCACTTTTAATCCAACTTCTCGTCTTTAATATCAGCTTTTCATTTATTGATTGAAATGACATTCTGTATTATTGATTGATCTTAGAGATGATAAACTAAACTAGGGAATCACTTTATATGTTATCTGTAATAATCTTCCATTAATTCAGTCCACCTTTATCTCTGATTTAGATTGTAGTGGTTTGAAATTAACCAATGTTTTGGTCCTGATCTAGTCATCTAGGGGGACCATTTTGAGTTTTTCTTTAATGGTGATGCCTAGGTAAATTAGCTAATGACATTGATTTATTACTATTCTGCTCACTGAACATATTTATGAACTGTCGTTTTCTGGCTTCCATTTTCTGCAGTGGATCTTCTCATAATGTTAAATAGTATCAATGAATTTCCCCAGATTGGAAGCATCCTAAGACATTGTTTACTTGGCAGTTCAAAATGAGCTTAGACTTCAATATTGACTTTTCTGAGGGCCTATCAATAAAATCGAACATATATTGGCACTTGGCCACATATATTTTAGTGAACACCGACAACTAGAAAGTACATAAACTAATGAGCAAAGTGTCTTGGGATTTTTACATCTTATGTATTTGATAAATTATTATCAATAATATCCACATGCATCAGATTATTATTGTAATTGGGTGCTTATCATCTCTTACAACAAGAAATGCCTTCCTTCTTTCACTGCTACTGTTACAAATTTATAGGCTAAATCTTAATATATGCTGTAATTAATGTAGGATATTATGTCACCTGTTATAGATTTTTTTTGTTAGAGTTTGATCTGAATTCGATTTAACTCAATTAATGAAAATATAAATTAAGAGAAAATTGAGGAAAGTGGAAAATCTGGTTTGATTGAAAGTAGGAAATATATATACTTTCATTGTTGATTAGAAGTATCAAATACATATCCCTATAAATAGATACTAATGATTAGAGTTAGAGATTAGGTTATCCATGGAGATTACTCTTGTATCCTTTTGACATTGGTGAATATTTTCTCCTCCCGTAATTTTTGTGAAAAAGTTTTCCACGTAAAATCTTGGTGTCTATTTTATTGTGCGATCAATATAATTACTATTATCTTCTAACAAGACAAAATACGAAAAAATGTATGTGATGTATTTGGACTTGGATATAAGTATGATGTTTGAATATGTGGTTTTTATATATTTAATGGATTTTCGGGATTCATACTGACATACCCCAACCATACTAACTCGACATCCATTCATTTTTCTTTCGAGGAAGTGCAAAAGTGGTAAATCAAGAATGCTGTGAGAGTGATAGCTTAATCAGAGTGGTGATGTGAGAGTGGTTACTTGGAGGCAGCAGATATCTAAGATTACTGCGATGCTTTTTTTTTTTTTTTTGCTAATAAGTTCTTATTTTTGTTGATGAACAAATAGCATAGCAGGGAAGACAAAATTATTGCTCATAATTTGCAAGAGAAAATGATTTTAAAAGGAGAGAAGACAGCTTTATTATTGGATAGCAGGATTATAGATAGACAATAATGGTTCATTCTGTCAAATTTCCTCTGTTTTGGGGAGCTGGTCCTTTGTATCATAGGACGACTGTGATCTCTGATTCTCTCTCTCCGATGCTTAAGAAATGAGATCCTTCTTCAATGACCATCAAACCCTCTTCATTGGCTGTGCTAAGATGCTCACAAGGGCTCAACTCAAATTCAACATCAGCTCTTTCCCCGGCATTCAGAATAACGCTCTGGAATCCAATCAGTTGTTTCACTGGCCTTCCATTACTGGCTTTTTCTCGCCTGACAAATAGCAAAAGTGGATGCTTACCCGCCAAATCCCCATGGTTTTGAGCTCTAACTGTGACTGGGATTCTCTTATCACAAAGTTCTGTTCGTAGCTCTGAAACTGGTATGTATTTAAAAGCATTTGATTTCTCAAGCTCAATCTCTGGAGAATTTAACTGATTGTTTAAGTAGACCTTGTTCTGTGCTACAGGGAGAAATTCATAAGAATAGTTTGAGTAACTGAGACCATAACCAAATTCAAAAACCTTTGGTCCTTGGTAGAATCTGTAAGTACGTCCAGGATAGCTAGAAGATGGACGCATTCTCATGTCTGTCATCGGTACTTTAACGAAACTCTGCGGATACCAAGTTACCGGTAACCTCCCTCCTGCATAGAAATATATGTGAAGCATAGAAATTTGTTAAATTTATCATCAATATAAGAATGTTTTCTGACTTCTACTAGCATACATGCTCTGAATGAGAGTTCACCTGGATTATGATCACCAAATATGATTTCTGTTAATGCCTGACCTCCAGCTTCACCGGGATAACCAGCCCATAGAATACTTCCAATGTGTTTATCATATTTGGCAAAGGTTATGTCTATCGGACCTCCAGAGAGAAGCACCAAAACAACCGGATTCTTAGATGCTCTCGCGACAGTGGAGATCAACTTCTGTTGCTTTGGCGGAAGAACCAAGTCTACACGATCGAGTTCTTCCCTCTCTTGGGTTTGATCCAATCCCATCACCAGCACCACATATTCTGCTCGTTTTGCTACTTTCACTGCTTGACCAGTAAAAGCGTATGAGCAGTTAACTGCATTACAACCTGGGTGATACTTGATGTCTTTAACATAGTTTTGCAACCCTTGCAGAGGTGTAACAATTTTGCAAGAAGGTCCGTAATAGTTTCCAAGTAGTATTTCTGAAGCATTGGCATTAGGTCCTATTACTGCAAGGGAAGTAGTTTTGGCTTTCGAAAATGGGAGGAGTTTGTTGGTGTTCTTTAGAAGAACAATGCCATTGCGAGCAGCCTCAACGGCAAGATTCTGGTGCTCTTGGGAACATATTTGAGGTCGACCAATTTTACCATAAGGCTGGTTAACTGGATTGCCATTGAAAAACCCCAACCTCATTCTAACAGAGAAAAGGTTGTGAAGGGCTCTATCTATTTCAGATACAGGCAATCTTCTATTTTTAACAGCAGATTTGGTGTAGTTCTTTAAATAAGTACCACAATTGACATCCATTCCTGTAAACTCATGGATTGAAAATGTTTGAATGATGCCACTAGCATATACATCAACCAGAACCATTTTTAGAACTTTTTTTCCTAACATTAACTGGCTTTTGATTACCAAAAATCAGCATGAGTGTTCAAAATACAGTTAATGGAAACTAAGTTACTCTCATACCAGCTTTAAGAACAGCAGCTACGGCATCCTCTGGTGACTTAGCATATCCCTGTTTCTCATAAATGATGGAGACTGCATCACAGTCGGATGTTATATAGCTGCATTTTAAGGAAGAAAAAACACAGTCATCTTTCTGAATCTGAATTAACCTTTCTTTTTTGTATTATTAACATTGAATGGAAAATAGTTTTTCGTTATTACCCGTTGAAACCCCATTGTCCTCTTGCTGTTTTGGACAAGAGATTGTAATCTGCACAATTGGGGACTCCATTAACACGATTATAAGCACACATTATGCCACTGGCTTTCCCTTCCCGTATGCAACTCCGAAAAGGAGGATTAAATGTATCTGCTAAATCCTGTAGACTAACCTGAAATCCAGAAAAAATGAGTAGCAGTTCAAAAATTATTATGTACGTGATCTTCCAATTAAGCTTTGATGTTTAAGTTTACTTTTGCATCGTAGACAAATCGGTTGACTCCTTTCCAGTTATCCACATCATAAGCTGTGAAATGCTTACAACAAGCTGAAGCTTGAAGGTGTTCACCAAGTTTCCCTCCTTCAAAAGTGTCCCCTTGTACCCCTCTCACAAATGAGATTGCATATTTCCCCGTAACAACAGGATCCTCGCCTGGCGTTTCTTGCCCTCGTCCCCACCTCGGGTCTCTGAATATATTAATGTTTGGTGCCCAAAATGACAGCCCCGTTGCTTCTCCGGCATTGTATATTGCTCTAGCCTCCTTTCCAACTGCCTGTAAGCAATCATAAGCACATGAACTGAAAGATTAACAAGTAGGGAAAAAAAAGCAAAAGGAAGGGTCTTTGTGTTTCGAGATAAATACTTGCCTGACCAATGCGGTACCAAAGATGAGCATCAAAGGAAGCAGCAGTGAGAATGACCTGAGGAAAACTTGTGGAGGCATGAATTGTTTTGAAATTGATGCCTGTGTTATAATTGGAGAAATAGACAACACCATGTAAGGCTTCAGACCACCATTCATAATAGGGGATGCCGAGTCTTGGAATGGCTGGAGCATCGATAACGAGCTGGGATATCTTCTCATCTAGTGTGAGTCTGGAGATTATATCTTGGACTCTTTGGTTAATGGAGAATGATGTGTTGCAGAATGGGTAAGATTTGGTTTGTGGGTGAGATGAGTCACAGGCAAATGGAGGCCGAGCTGAGTCTGCTAAGATAAGCGGCAGTGAGCTAATGTAAATGAGGGCAATGAGCGATGATATTTTGTGCTTCATCTTTGTCACTTCTTTGGGCAGTAAAGTTGAGAAAAAGACTGTTTTATAGGACCAACAAAGCTCTAATAACAACCATTGTTTGGCTTTGAATGAAATGATAATCTTTATTAATGATTGAGCTTAGAGATGATACACTAAGCTATAACATGTTGTAATTTGTAATAATATTCTACTTGCTCCACCTTTAGATTGTACTATTCTAGTGCTTTCAGATTAGCTTGGTCCAGATACCGTCGAGATTCCTTTGTTATATGTTTATATTTGTCTCTCAGCTTCCTTGTTATACGGTGGCGTTTGTCTCGTAGTTCCTAGGGATAAAAAACGGGGTTGCAGTTCAAACTTTTTTATGCGAAAATCTATTC